ACTAACCTAATTATAAGTTCTGACTATTATAGGTAAAAGGTCTGTATAAACACAATACCTAAACAAGAGGAGACATATACATATCACAAAATTGACCTTAAAGTTGTATCAATAAATGAAAATCTATACCAATGGAAAGTATTCATTCCTATATCCTATTCCCCTTTTTTCTTTTAAAAAATTAACTATGCACATCATCATTTATAACCTACTCCATTTAAATGAAAACATTTATAAACAATATTTGGGAATATGGGCATTTTTTTTCTAAACTGCTTCCTGCTGATTTGGGGAGATGTTCATACTATTGGGATCATGATAAAAACATAGAAATCTGAACAAGTTTTTGTTTTTGTAGTCTGTAAGGCTGTATCATCTCAGCTTCAGGGGATCTTGCTTGATCAAACCATATTAGTCTGGAAGGAATCAACAGTTTTTGATTTTGTGTGGAAATACAAGCAAAACCTTTATTTCTAAGTAGCCTGTCCTTAGACTTAAAATTTGAAGTCAAAGCATTTTTAAAATGTATAAGTTGGATTAATTTAGCAGTATTTATAATCAAATATATTTTAGCAGCAGTAATTCTTTTCTCAGCAATCAAACAATTTACAGACAACAGTACGGCATTTAGTATCCAGATTCTCTGTGTATTTTTCATCTTTAGGTGGCTTTTTTATTATTCTACTTTTACTTCCTTTTGTTCCTTTTTTTTTCTGAGACAGTGTTTCTCTGTGGAAATCCACCTGCCTCTGCTTCCTTCAGCAAATCCTACCGGCATTGGCCACCATAACCGGCTACTCTATTTCCTTCTGTTATTTTTTTCTCTCACAAGCATACATATATTTTTAAATGCAGTGTAAACCTTTACAGGTTTTTCTTTATCTGGATCTGACTTTATCATCTCAGAAATGCCGAGTCTAAACTCCAGAATCGCCTGGACTGCGTGAGCATATGGAAGCTGCTCCGATGCCTCTCAGCGACCAGACAGGGCAGGCTGTGGTGGCAGGTTTACATCTTTGTCTGGGAACCTTGGGGGATGGGGTGATCCCACTCACTGACACCATTCTGTTACGATAAATATTTCTGCCAAAAGCCACAGAGCCCCACCGCCACGTGTATGCTTTACACAAGCTGCCCACCTGAGTTAGGGCCCAAATGAATACACAGAAAATTGTATTAAGTTCAAAGCTGCTTGGCCAATGAGTAGGATTCTCATCTGTTAGCTCAGTCTTACCTATCATACATCTATATATTTTATAAGACTTATCTTATCAGATGCCTTATTGGTGTCCCTCCTTGCCGGTGGCTCACATCCTGCCGCTTATAAGTTGATAGTGATTACAACTAGCTATAAAACTAATAGATATGTAATAGGTATGAGTAAAGATGGTTAATTTATGGTTCTGTTCCCTTAGCAAAATAAGATCAGATAAATCATTGAACCTCCACTGTGGTGGAAGTTTGTTGATGATGATGGCAATTAACACAAAAATAACACATATTTGACAGCATGCAGAGACTGAGAGTCTCTGGAACACTCAGCCTGGAATGGGATGTCTTTATCAAACCCTTTCCCTCAAAGCTCAGAGATTCATCCACGGAGGAGACAGAAAGTGTATATGAGTCAGCATTGGTGTATGACTCCATGGAAACTCCAGACACATAAAAGCTGAAGAATATAAATTTTCAGAGAGAATGTGAGGATACACACAAAACCTACACAGGCTCAAAACAGACAGATTTCCAAGGGGAAGTATACACAAAGTCTTACCCTAACCAAGAAGCTGTTTTCAATTGATAGATGATGGAAGAGAAAAAAATCAATATTGTCTAATGGAGTGTTACCAGCTATATCAAACTTACTCCAGGTCAAGCCCCAGACCAAGTAGCAGTTGGTCAATAAAAAACTGACTCCATATTTCTCTTTTAAAATTAAGAAAATAATTTAATGTGTATATCTTACTTGGCTTTATTTTGTTTAGTTTTGTAATCTTTTGTCTGATTTTTGAGGAAAAAGAAAGAACATGAAGATAAGATAAGGAAATGGATATGATATTCAAGTGGAAATACACTCACAATATATTATATGAAATTTGTTTCAATAAAAGTTAACGTTGTGTAAGTTGTTTCAATAAAATCTAACAGGTAATGTTTGTGTCCCAGTCATTCAAATGAATGACAAAGGAAAGAGTGTCTTCAATGGCAATCAGTGAAAAAATATTGTATAACTGATACAGAATACTTACCCATTCTCTTTACACATGGCAAAGGAATTCTTTTCCTTGGCACCATTGAGAGTTTACATTTGAATTCTTCATCATTGGAAGAGGTTTTTATATTTCAGACTACAGATAAAATATTAGCTTCTATTTACTAACATTCAATAGTCCAATGCAACACTTCCTGATTCCACAATTGAAACAATGAAAAATGTCTCCCAACATTAACAAATCCCACTGGGGCAAGATCATCCCCAAATGAAAATAACCATCACAATAAGCTCTCAGCAGTTCCCCACTTACAGCTACTCCTGGCCTCCTAACCTTGAGTCCACTAGGACACCTGGCCTGTTCTTCCTAAGTGTGTGCTCATGAGAAGTATGGTTCATTTGATGAATAGAATGGAACTTACTATATTTATTTACAATCTCAACTCCCTAGTCACTAGTCATCATATGCATATGGCTATTTTACCTTGTCCATAAGGAAAAACTGTCAAGTCATCAAACCTATCGTGTCTTTTTCTTTAGGATTGCCAAGGGCTTACATCATTTTACATAGTTTACAGTAATTGACTGTTCTAGCTACAGAGAGTGGTTTTTTTTTTTTTTTTGACTAGTACCTCAGCACATATTGGGAAAATTATATTTTGGAAAATACAGAAAACTCTCATTATTATAAGCCTCTCCATTTTATGAGTGCAAGTAGGCACCTTCTGACTACCCAAGGAAACATCCTTCACCTTTCCTTGCCATTAATTCCTTGCAACTGCTGTCAGCACTTTCTAGTAATATATGAGAAGAATAAGAGCAAAACCTTTTTGAAAGTTATTGATAGGGTGGGTTAAGGTTACTGTTCTAAAGCATTAGACTATTGTTTTTCCGTAAAAATGTGGAAAACCCCCATTTAATATCAGGAAATTCAAGGGGCAACCAGAAAGAACTTGCTATTTACTAGGTACTTCCACTGAACTAATTCCTGCCTAACTGGTTAATCATATCCTTGAATTTGTGACTGTACCTTGTGAAACATTTAAATAATCATGCACACCACATTGTTAATTGATAGAAAAATAAAATAAAATAAACTTAGATATATATTGACATCATGGGCTACCTAAATGCACTCATTTCAGAATCTATTACAATGTGCTTTAATTGCTATTTGAATTATTAGATATGAGCTGCTTTAATTAACATACTTTATGGAAGAGAAGATGCTAAATAGTGTGGAGTAAGAGAATAGGAACAAGGAAGGTCAATAAATATTTTCAGATGATGGAGAGTAAAAGAGAAAAAATACTGCAATTTCTGCTATTCTGGGCAGCAAGAAAGAAAGAAAAGAAAGGAAGAAAGGAAGGGAGAGAGACAAAATGAGAAAGTCTATCAGTCTGTAACCTTGTTATGCTCATCTGCTTCCTTTAATAGATTTCGGGGCTATTGTAGCAACAGTTCCCTTGCCTCCGTGCATGCACAAGCAGTTACTTCTGCTTTGAACTATTTGCTTCTCAAGTAACTACATGGTACATTTCACTTCATTTCTGAATCTGGGCAATTCCAGGTGGTGTGGAGTGATTAATGATGCAGCCTAGGACCCCATCCTTGGGCGACATCCCTGGGAAGCAGGAATTTAGCAAGGCGTAAAGGCAGAAGATGGCTGGGCACTGAGCCTGTTTCTCCATAGCCACGGTCTTTGCAGTACAGTTGTTCCAGCTGCCAGAGGCTTTCTGGTTGCCATGGCAACCCTTGGGCTCTGTTGAGAACTCAAAGCAGAGCCTCTGAAGTTAGGAACCAAACAGAGGAGCTCCACAAATGCAAATGAACTACACTTGAGCAGGGGAATCACAAGATAACCCGTGTCGCAAGCTACAACGCCTTTGACTGAAGAAGCTAGTACAATCAGTGTTTTGGAGTTTTGTGTTTGTAAAATGGGAGAGTTCTTGCCTGATATTCTTCATTACTGTCATCTTTCAGTTATGGGAGATACACATTGCAAATCGGCACACTAGAGTGCAGGCAGTAGGAGGGGGTGGGGCCTGAACCATGTTTAAGGCAAATGCACCCAGACTGCTCATTCATTCACTCGAGTTTTACATTCTCCATCTCCAGAGAGCTCATTTGTGCAGGGCATTGTGTCAAGTCATACATCTGCAAAGAGAAACAAGACGCTGTCTCGGTATCAAAATTAAGTAGCGATAATTAATTAAAAATAACAGGATTCTCCCGGGCCGGAAGAAAGTCAATGAGGCTGTGTCCACAGAGAGACGGTTGCCTGCGCTATCTCTTGAAGAACAATTAACAAAAATAAAAATAAGAAATAAATAATTCCTAGCTCGGGAGGGGGAAGAGGTAGTGACCAGATATACCCCGATATAGGGAAAACGGTGTTTCCCTTGGAAACCTGACTGTCAAGGCCACGCCAATGTTTCACAAGGGATGGGAGGGAGGGGAGATTTATTTTTCTTTTATAAGAAAAAGAAAGAAAAAAGCAAAAACAAAAAAACGGAGCCCTTTCCCCCACTGGGCTTGATTTCTAGTATGGGAAACCCCGCCTTTCTGGAGCACGGATTGGTCCAACTCTTTTTGACATAATTTATGCCAGCGTCCTCCCTGTCTGATTGGCTCCCTAGCTCAGTTCTGCTGGGAGTCGCATCCTACCTGGTTCGGAGGTGTACTGTCTTTCCACACTGTGGCTTGTGTTCCCTGGGCTGCTACTGAGGTGTGAGACAAACTCTGGGCTTGAGCACTGAGCTACAGGAGGAGGGATCATATAAGCGACCTGATGGGTTCTAGGAAAGCCTTTCTCTTCTCTCCTTTCCTGTGGAGTCAAACTAGAGGAGTAAGGTTGATGTTCCTGTTACTAACCCTGCATTTGGGAAACTGGTGAGTAAATTCAAGGACTTAAAACTGTCTCCTTCATTTTAAGTTCTTTTTCAAAAATCATTCTAAGTTAGTTTTCATTTTTCCCGGGAACATGTGAAGTGTTTGGCATCGTTGTATTTTCTGATTCTGTTTACTTGGATATAATATGAAATTAGCATGGATGAAGCATGGATGTTAGTTCACTTATTTTTGAGTTCTAAGGCAGAACAAACTACTAATAGGGGTTCCATTTCCACAAAGGAAACCAGGGGTATAAATGACTTTCCTACTATATTTGCAATTGAATGCTATTGATGAACTTTCTAAGTGATTCTGCATTTTAAGGACAAAGTTATTTCAGAAACTTATTGTTACATAGTATGATGAATATGCTACTTGTGTATAAGCCAATATTGTGGGTTTTATTTCCTCACTCATTTTGGGATAACTTTCTTGATTAGGCCAACCTTGTATATGCTATATTTGAGCACATATTTATCAGAAACAGCTCTGTATGTTTTATTAGAATCAACTTTGAAAGTGTCCATTGTAATTGGTTGCCAAATAAATTAAAATTCATAGTACTATAAATGTCTTAGCTGCATTTTTGTGTGATACTACCATGCTCAAATCTCCAGTCTGATAGGAACAAGACTGGACTGTAAAACATTTCAAAAACTTTGAAGTCATGCCGATAGTGCAAGAAAATGCTTATACTTGGACTGTGGAGGAGACAGTGTGTGGAAAATATTGTCATGTTTGGTTAAGATATAGGTACTTTAAAAGTTTTTCTATTCACTACCCATGCATTTCCTCACTTGTTTTATATACATCTGCATTCAAAGTTATGGTGTTCTATGTTTTAGTGCTGTTTAGAATTCCAGTAAAGTGAAATTACTATGAAAATAATTTTTGCATGTAGATTTTTCATTTCATCACCAGTATCTATAATCTCTGTATATCCTGAGAATGTAGGCATTGAATAAGAACATAGCCAATATTGGCCTTTCTGGATTCAAAATTTAATAATTGGTATGTTTATGTTTCATTTGGGTATTACAGTTTTATTTATCTTTTTGCCTTAGAATTTTAAGTGTTGTCGATGCATTTAATGAATTATTCTCTCTATATAGCACTCTGTACTGGCTTATGTCCTTGAAAACATATTTCATAAAAGGTATTTAAGTAGAAGAGGTACTTATATACCACTGCAAAAGTAAAATCAGATTGGCCCAGTGGTTTTCTAGAGTAACAATCTGCATGCTCTTTTTGTCTTTATAGCTGCACATTTGTATTTCAATCATGTAGGGGTACTGTCACAAAGAGCATATTGTTTATACAAAAAAATGTTTCCTTTGAGTAGATTTTCATCACATTCGTTATAGCTGGCTCCCACACTCTCATCAAGCTGGTCAGGGATAAAGATCTCTGTGTTACAGTGGGCAGGGCACTCACCAGATGCATGGTCTTACCTGCCACAGCTCTTTAAACTCACTCGATACAGTAGTTTCATCTGCAAAATGTATTGTAGCAGTAGACCATTCCTGACTGCTTCAACTGTCCAACTTCAATACATCTGAGATTTGAAATGAAATATGCAGTGATTTAAAGGTCTCTTCACAGGTCTGAGTAGTACTAAAGAGGAAAATTCTAATGTGGCTAACATTTCCTCTTTTTACTGTATGTATGAGAGAGTGAAAATAAGTTACAAAATTCAAATTTATAAATGATTTATTTTGTCTTTGTTTTATAGATAAACTAGATTACTTTGTGAAATGAATAAATACATATTGAAACAGATCTAAATATTGATACTATATTATTGTCTGAGTGTTTTGGTTATGAGCCTTTATGAGTTCATTTTATAAAACAGGCAAATTTGTGACTAATTTTATATTATTTCAATACAGACTTGGAGAAAATTGGTATCGTTGCTTATAAACTATGTATGATTCTAATTATTACTCCCCTTTTCTGTGTTCATTTGAGGTTTCTGTTCACAACCAATCACAGACAGGTCTGTCTGAAGGAATTTCAGTGTCATACTAGTTTCTAAAATACTGACATTCAATGTTATCTATTTGAAGATTTCCTAAGTTGGGTTCTATTACTTTTTATATCAAATCAATAGGGAGGTCTTGTTTCCTCATTAGTTTCCATAAAGAGCAAACGGAGACAGTGTATTGACTTTCCTCTTTGCTGAATTATGAAAACAGGTCCTCCTGCTGTATTTAAAAGCTCTGGTCATGGATCCTGTTCTTCCTTTTCCAGGAGCATCTGTGGCATCCTGACAGCTTGATTTATATTTCACGAGCTTTATTTCACTTTTTGTAATGTTAAAGTAAATGTAAGTATAATCAACTTTAAAAAGATTTGGAAAAAATTCTTAAGATTTTAGCTGTTCCAAAAGTAACCCATAATAACCTTTGTCTAAGGAGTTACATGATTAGAAAGCCAAAGAAATATATCATATTTAAAAAGTTTCCATGGATTAAAATGCCATTTAGTTTTCTACATTACCCTGTTCAAATTCACATACTTTTAAAATGCATTATTTTAGATCATTTCAAAAATAAGTTCATGGGTGTTGTAGTTAATAAATGATTTTTCCTTATGTTTTTAGCTTTTAAGCTTATTTTTCTAGTACAATGCCAATGATAACCATGTAACTGTTACATGATTACATATTCATAGGACACAGAGATATAATGGTTTTGAAATGAGAAGATTATAATTCTTAAAAGTCCCCAATACAGAATCTTTTAGATTATGAAAACATAAAATTCCAGTCCAGTTGTTTTCCATTCTAAAGGCTGAAACTATTGCTATTGGCTAGGCAATAAAGAAAATGATTCATATTACTTCCAAGTTTCATAGATATTTTGTATCTTATACATGTGATTAAATTTGCTTAGGAATGTAAGAATTGAGGTAGAGTTCCAAGGAGATGGAGGGGAAGTACGACAGAAAACTGAACAAAGCTGTTGGGGTCTTGGGGATAGTGAAGGTCTTGGGGATGTGGAAGTGACTTCCCAGATAAGAGGGGATGAATTGGAACAAGTTAAGTACAATGAAGGTTTCAGGTGAATACTTTTACATGGGAGATATCAAGTGAGAATTCTCATCTTCATCATCAAATTTCAATTTCACTTTCAACTATCACTTCTTCCTTAGTGATAGGAAAATTTTGGCACCACAGAGAACTTCTTTTCCAATATTATTTCAAGAACATTTATATATTTGGAAAGAAGACCTGCCATACAATAAGTTGAGAAAAAGGACATAGTAAGAAATATTCTATAGACTCATCAAAATTTGAATATTATTTATCATTTTAAAATTGGTTTGAAATATAGTAGACTTAAACATTGAATCATTAGATATTATTACCAATTATGCTTTGATGAGATCATCCATTACTTAATCAAACATTTATTGGGTATAAATACAGTGAAATATGGTAGGTTTACTCTAGCAAATAAATAAACTTTATCCAAACAGAGCATGTTATTCTGCTTGGTTCTACATGTGGTGTATTAAAGAAAAAATATCTTTCTTATAGTTCTTCACATAAGGGAGAGACCTTGTAAAGAGAGACCTTGTTGGGGTGTCAAATGGCATTTTATTATTTAAGTTTTGTTTAGGCAACTATATTGTTTCCATTTCATGGTTGCTACTTCCCTGTCATATCTAAAAGTCACTGTCTAGCAGAAGGTGCCCTGATTCTTTGGCTCTTACAATCTTTCCACCTTTGGCTGTTACAATCTTTCCACCTCCTCTTCTTCAGTTTTTCCTTTGCCTTAAGTGTATGGGATGCATTGTAAATGTGTCAATTGGGGATGGGTACTCCATAGTCTCTGCATTTTGACCAGTTGTTGATCTGGGCAATCATCTCCATTTGTTGGAGAAAGAAGCTTTTGATGAGATGTTATAGCCACTATTATCTCTGAATATAAGAACAAGTATTGAGAATACAGTTACCAATTATATTGGTTTAGCAAAAAATGTAGTAGGAGGGTCTCCTCTAATGTGTATGATGTCTCTAGTCAAGGGTATTTGGCTAGGCTTCAGAATCAGTCCTTAATTTCCTCCTGTGGAATACCCCTTAAATATGATTAGACAGTTGTTGGTTACCCTCCAATTAAATATTTCATTATTACATAAGTGGTAGTTTTTCATCTGTTAGTATTAGCTGTGCTTAGCTGGCTTTATGATGGGTAGGTAACACAGCATTTTCTGATAATAAGGGAGCTAGCATTCAAAGAGGAAGCTTTCAGAACACTTCCAGCTTTGTTCCTCCACATCCTGTGACTGAAATGTGTGTTGTCTTGAGCAATAGGGTCTTACTTTTGCATTCTGACAGGCAGACAGAATTAATGGTTATAAATAGCCTATATTGTTCTGAGAGTTTATTTGATCTATCTGACCAACTACTCAACAGCCAGTTACTCATGACTGGTACTGCAGGCTTTGTCAGATAGTCCTTGACTACTGGGATGAGCATTATAACCACGTAATGAGTAGCATTATAACCCCATAATGTTGTTTTATTGGGTCTGGGTTACCCTTTTCAGGATGATTTTTCTCATTCCAAAAATATGTTTGCAAATTTCATGATACTCTATTGTTTAACAACCGAGTAATATTCCATTGTGTAAATGTATCACATCTTTATTATCCATTCTTATTTTGAAGGACATCTAGGCTCTTTCCAGGTTTTGGTGATTATGAATAAAGATGCTATGAAGATACTTTAGAAAGTATTCTTGGTGGTGCACGCCTTTAATCCCAGCACTCGGGAGGCAGAGGCAGGAGGATCTCTGTGAGTTCGATGCCAACCTGGTCTCCAGAGAGAGTGCAGGGATAGGCTCCTAAGCTACAAAAAAAGTGTTCTTGTGGTAGCATGAAGCATCCTTTGGTTATATGCCCAAGAGTGGTATAGCTGGACATTGAAGTAGATGCATTCCCAATTATCTGAGAAAACTGCCATGTTGATTTGCAAAGTAGCAGTACAAGTATGC